GGATGGAACAAGAAACATTAATATAAATGTATAAGCGATTCTTAATAACAACCTCAATGCTTAAACGACTTTTCATTGATTTTGTTGTAATTCGATACTAGGCTTTATAATGCTATGATTTTTATATACTTGTTAAATTGCTTAAAATGTTGTTCATTGCTTAAAACTATTCGTTTTCTTTTTTTGAAGCTGTGGTTAAATTCATTTGAACTATATATTCAAAACCATATATTGTATTTTAAAAATCATAAAAACTTTTAAATAAATATGCTATAATGAAAAACAAATAACAATAATTTGAAATAATATACTTTGAATGATATTAATATAAATTTTAATGTACAGTTAAATTTACAGATACATTTAAATAGTAATAATTTTATATTTATTGAAACAGCATATAAATTTATAGATATAACAAATTTATAGATATAATTTCTAAATAAAAAATAAGATAAATAAAGAAAAAAAAGATCAAATGTAAAAAATTAAAAAATACGAAAATAAAAAAGCCCTATATAAGAAACTAAAACTAATCGTTCGATATAATGGCTAGTGAGTGTTGAACACATTATATGCAAATGGGAATTTGTGGAGTAAGTGTAAAGTCGCAAAATTTACTTGCTAGTGATGCTTTACTCGCTAGTGAGAATACATAATCAAATATTTACTAGTTTGGCGTGCCATCGCTAAAAAGAATGTAGAAATCGTTGTCGATGCCGTTCCGGCGCTCGATGCCATGGAGCCGCGGATCATGAGCTTGCCTATACCTTGAGCTTGACAAAATGCGATTAAGTTTAGCATGGAGGTAATTTAAGTATAAAGTTTTATTCGTAATAATTTAACTACATAGAGATGTGATGTACCACAGCTCGCACTCGTGGCTCATACATTTCATAGGATACTTGGCATAAAGTCGCAAGCATAAAAGTAATGCTAACATTAAAGTTTGCAGTTCCAGATCCGGCCCACAGTTATCTTTCTCCCTTTATCCTTCTCTTCTCTCCTTGCTTCTTCCTGTCACCATTTCTCAACTTCGTCCCTCGCACTTTTTCCCCTCCTACAATGTAGAAAACGACTCCACCTCGGTGTATACCTACTCCCTATACGTACCGCTTTTATCGCACAACTATGCAAATTATCATGACACGCGAAATATGAGTTGTCATCAATTAAAATTCAATTGTTAATTATCCGAAACTAAGTAGTTAATATTATTTATAAAAAAACACTCTCTAATAACAAAGCAAATAATGTTAATTAAAAAAGAGATGATGCAAAAAGCATTACTGAAACCATTACCAAAACAAGAACACGCATCTGCCTTGATTGCCATATATAATATATGCATATACTAATATGAAAGATAAAGTTCGCTTAAATAGACAATTACGAATGAATTGTCATATTCGTAAAATAAAACATGAACATGGAATTATTTTAAAATGACGATCCTTGGAAGTACAAGAAACACAGTAGAGAATAGTTACGAGACCGACTATGGGGGGTTGGATGCATAGTTTAGTTTAGAAATGGCCGTTGGGGAACAATCGTGCCAATGCCAAGGGAGGCATAGTTTCTTCTCACACAACGCCTTACTTTGCTAGTTCCATAATTCTAAAAGAGTTTCAATAAATGGAGCTGTAGTATCTTTGACTTACCTTTACTAGCTATTCTGCCACTTCCTGTTTATACTTTCATATCCTTTACCAAGGAATTACGTTTTTCACAACACACTAAAATTATTATTTAAACTTCAAGTAACTATGCACATTATTTGTATGAAATAAAAACTTTATACTAAACTTTAAATATTTTTATACAAGAACTTTATGTAATTAATTTCAAACATTTTACAATTCTAAGCATATACATATTTATAAAAAAAAAATGAGCTTTTAATGAAACAATATTTTATAATAGTAACAGTAATGATTTTAACTGCCCTTCGATTGGTCGTTTACCCTATTACCGCGTCAATCATGCGTAAAAGTTATGGCTTAGTATTTCGCGATTTTATATATATCGTATACAATTTTGTTGTTCACGTAAGCCGTAAGATGTATATGATTGCTTGTATATAATTACTATTATTTTTAATTAATTCACATTAATTAAATAAGTGAATCATTTAAAGCAATAACCTATCAATAATCTAGGTATTTCAAATTAAAGTTGACATAACTTATAAAAACGTTATACCAATTGTTCATACTTTATAAATATTATAATTCTATATATCGAACATTTCACTTTAATCGCACAAGTTACGTAATTATATAAGTTTTATGTAAATAATATTCTTCTATCTTGAAATATGAATATGAGTTCTCATAAATGTAAATATGCAAATTTAGTAATCGAAAAATAAGAGTCCTCTTATTCAATAAATTATATTTAATTTTAAACTAAAACAACATTATGGATTCATATAGATTCATCTGCTGTAAATTATTTTATTAACTAATTACGAAGTTGATTCAATTGAACTGGAAAATTGATCTCAGTTTTTAAAAAAGTATAAGCAATTAATATATTTAACAAGTGACTTAATTTGTAAAAAAATGTAGCCATCATGTTTGAATCTCGTAGTTTATAAATTTTATAGAACTAATATCTTATAGATTATAAAATAGTAAACTAGTAAGGAAGAGAAAGAATGAGCGAGAGAGAGAGAGAGAGAGAGAGAGAGAGAGAAAGAGAGAGAAAGAAGATATGGATAAAGTGGTAAAATAATGTAGCAAAGAACACACAATGATTAGATGCCACACAATTAATATCGTTAATAACAAAGAGAGAAGAAATCCCAAGAGAATATTAAAATCGTGGTTTTCACTACTTTCAAGGTTTTCACTTTAACACATACAATTCTTTTATTTAATAGTCGGCTTTAATAGAACAATATGAATTGTTTCATGATCATGAAATATAAAAAATTGTATTGTGCAGTATAGAAAACACAAAAATATTTTTTAAACAAGTGATATATAAGTCACGTTTCTACAATGAATTCAATAATATTTCAAAACAATACGGCAATGGTTCACTTTTATATATTTCTACATTTTTACTTTTTACTGTGGATTTCAATGACACAGTTAAATTAACTGGATATATGCTTTTCAAAAAAAGTAGAGGGAAGAAGCTCAGATTTTTAATACATGACGGTACAAAAAAGCAAATAGTTAATGTTATAAACAAAGAATCAAAGAAGAAGCTAAAGAAGGAGTGAATATGATCAACAGATAATAAAATCAAGGATATGAAGTACCAAGTAATGTAAATCTAATAAAAAAATATTTAAATAACGCAAATTACCTACAACCAATTATCTACGACACAGTTTATTACATACATATAAAACCATGATGATTCGACTGCTCTTTTCTGTATTTATAATAAATCGATAACGATATGTAAGCATATTTTTCTTTTTATTTGTTTACTATCCTAGCTCTTCCTTATTCTTACTTCAATCCTCTTCATTTTACTCCCATTTTATGGTGAAATAATAATCTATTCAACATGACGCAACCCTGAAATCGATAAAATTAACCTTTTTTATTCTACTTTCCTATACCATCGTTTGACTCTGTATTACAGAGCAATATTCGGAAAATTTCGAATAAGGGGGGAGATATCTCGGCTAGTCAAGAACTGAAATGAAAATAGGGGACAAATGATCAGTTACAGGAGATAAGCCAAAGGGAATCATGTTGTCGCTCGGACAAGGATACCAGCTTGATAAGGATCACTGCTAATTGTTGTGAATTGCCTAAGGTGGTAAGCGAGTAGAGAGAAGGGAGGCAAGTGTAGCAACAGGTGTCATCTGATTGATCGCCATCGCTCTCGAACGCCCACGTGAACAAGGCGGAAACGCACAATGTATGAACGCGGGCGGCTTGCTTTAATGTAGACCCATTACATATTGGCCCACCCCAAGACCATGATCCCTCACTCTCTTCGCACCCTTGTAAGCCGCGAGACCACACGCATGCTGAGGCGTTTTCAAGTTTTAATACCCTCTAACCCTTTAGCCCAAACTTTACCACACATCTTTTTCCCGTATTATAAAACAGACGTACATGAAAAGAAGCAAATAAGTATTTATCAAAAATTATAAATTAGAAAATGAATCGTATTGATAAAGTTGTATGAAGCTATGGAGTAATTCAATTTGTAAAAAGAGAGTATACTCTGACAGCGTATAGTTAATCAAAACATAAATCTCGCAGATTATCACAAAACACCGAAAGTTACATTTTTCTGCTGCTTTAGCGACAACTCGGGTGAAAATTTAAACCGCAAAATATTCGCGCAATTATATTTCACAACAATAAGCGTGTCGATATTCCAAAAAACGACAATTGTAAGAACAATTTGGTTGCATATTGAGTAGTTCTTTCCTTTATCAATTCGTTCCAAAGATCTTTATATATCCTCACCTTTACGAATTCACAAGATTAGCAATGCACTACCAACATCCAGTAACTAATTCAGATTTATGCAATTTTTTATGTACATATACTATTGAGTATAACTGTCGTCTTTTTCCTAAGTTCTTCTAAATTTGTGTTACAATGGATAATATATTATTGGACAGTTTTAATACAATAATATAATTATAACGAAATTCAATAATTTTTGTTGTTCTTTTTTAAATATTGCATTTTTATATAGACATACAAAATTTTGAAATTAATTTTTCTTTTATCATATTTAATTTAATGATTATTAGTTATCGAAATAAAGCGTTTTAATATTATATTGCCGTTTAAATAAAAGATGTTAGTTTATATAGTAATTATATAGTTTATTTATTGTAATAATATAATTAAGCATAGAAAAAAAATAAAAAATACAATTTTTTACAACTTCAAACATGTGGAATGGGGAAAACAAGAGAGTACAAAAAAGTAAAGACAAAAAGTGATACATAGGATAAGGAAAGTAATTTATCGTAATAAACTTTGTATGATTTATAAACATTTATTTTGTAGAATTGTAAGGAACAAGGCGGCAGAAAAGGCAAAACATGCGCATCAACAACAACAAGCACAACAGGGCCAACCGCAGCAGCAACAACAACCACAACAACAACAACAACCAGGTACAGGTGGTTCGGTATCTGTAATAGCGCATGCGCCGGCGACAACTGGAGGTCACCCAGCTGCCACCGCCCCCAATGCGTACAGCATTAGCGGTATCCTTGGCATTCCAGCTCACCACCAGGATCCTAACGGCAACAGTATTAAGAGAAAGCGAACAGACGAAGGTCAGTATCAACTAATTGAATCATATTGTCATTGCACTTATTTAACTTTAAACTTTTAAATTTATTAAAACTTACCACTTTCTAATTACTTTTATTGACAATATCCATCTCTAGAATATTTTCCTATTACATCCAATACTTTTGTCTCATTCTTTTATTTACCGTTCTGGTGGATAAATCTATTTATTATATGTGACATTGTACATAATAAATATATAATCAAGTATTCAATGACAGAACTTAAGATTTCTTCTTACGAATTTCTTATAGCATGTTTTTTATATCAGATAAATATTGAGCTTTAATTAAATTATAAAAATATGTCTATGGAAATGAGATATAGTAAGGATTGTGTATTTTCTACACAACTTATTCAAACAAATTCTATGTTAAAATTTAAAATAATTATTTATTATTGTATATTAATAATACTTCATTCTTACTTTACTGTGTTATCTAATGAAATACTTAAATTATTTTTAATTCAGTAATTAAATTCTCTTGTTGATGATAGAAAATTATGAAAACAAAAATAGAATAATATTTAAGAAAATTATGAAAATACTAGTATAATTATTAATAAATTATATCATGCCGAAAATTAACCTTTGTAAATAACCTTTTAATAGGAACGATTCCTTATTTTGTTGTGGCTAAATACTGTTAACAATAAATTATTTTCGTACAAAATGTATAAATTTTAGTCAGTAGTAAGTAAAGACACTTGTGTACGCACTATATGAGAAACGTATGTGAGTACGGATTAGAACATAAATATTATACACGGTCACTGTTCCCAAAAAATTCGATACGCTCTAGAGAGGTGGTGTGGGATATAGAATCGACACCGTCACGAACACGCCGCCTGGGAAAACGCGAGTGCACCACGCAACACGTGACGCTATTCATTCAAAAGCAACTGAAATATTCCTGACACGCGCCGCACATAGGACACGAGCCGACGTTGCATGACCCGATCATTTTGACTAATACAACCCTCAAGTTTAAGCGCTCAACTTTTCCGAATGGGTATATTATTGCAATTCTGTGGTTACTCTCGAATTTACACGATGCTTACGACATAGACAAGAAAGCATTATGCTATTTTCCTGTGCACTGATTTAATAACTCTCATGAGCATGAATTTGACCTTTCTTACACTAATTGTCAAAAAAACTGTTTTAACCTACCTAAAACTATACCTATCTACGTAATACTGAATATTCATTAATGAGTAATCTTAATAAAAATTACGATACTTTTGGTGTCCGTCACCATTAATATATTCATTAAAATTTATTCATTCACTGTAAATATTATCTACGTATTGCATAAATCTAAGTTTTTTGTGGATGATAGGAAAGTAATATACCACAAAACCATTCTTACGAAAGAAACAAAAAGTGTTTTGAAGAATAACGAAACCAAAGTTGAAATTGCTTGTAATGGAAATTGAGAAATCCAATCATAAAATAAATACAAGTAGATAACTGCACTAACTACATTTATATGTAAATTTATAAAATAGAAGATAATGCGGCAACAGCCATCCACAATTTAACTTAAATTTTATATGTAACTATAAACAGCAAAGTGCCCTGATATACATATATATCTAATAACTAGATATAATTTTATTACAAACGACACTAACTTTGGCACTGAAGGTACATGCATATATTTGTCTATGTTAGTTGTGTATGATCATGAAAGTGGCGGTTTTGCAGTGGCCAAAGTACTCGATATTTGTAGCACTCGCTCATGCATGTATTAGATTATGAATTTCATAGGGCCACACTACACCAGTGCAAGCAACCCAAACACCATTACTTTTCTAAATGCAGCATACGTATGTTTAGATTGCTATCTTTCATTCAACTAATTTTCCCTCTATGTCTTACAGTTGACATTAGACATATTCTTGCCATCCAATGAGATCATAAACGCGAAACGAGATTCACTCAGAAATACTAATCCTTCTAATTTTGTGTTTAATACGTCGACGTTTTTGAAAACTCCATCTTTATATGCAATGTATGCCTGTCCTTATTTTATTTTATATGAATTGTATTTTTTCGCTGATTTCACTGTCAATTAGATTTCACATAGCGATATTTAATTTTATTTTAAATTTCATAATTTTAATTTCATAGATAAATATATGTAATCTATTCATAATTAACCATAATTAAAATATAACGTGTAATAAAATATAAAAATTATATATTTAGAATAGATACTTTGTTATAAGTTACTTATTCATTCAGTATTTTAATTAGTTATCATTAACTTTTGATAAGCAAATTAATAAATAACTTTATAAAAGCACATCTACAGTTTTCCAATATTCACATTTCCTACATAATAAGTGGAACTTGATAAATCAAACCATTTAAGAATATTCATAACTCAGTTTGACTCAAATATACCTTTAATATGTTTTGAAAAAAGATTTAAAAGATTATTACTTTGTACAATGGAGTAAAACATGAGTGATTATACATTTTTCAGAATAATCCATTTGATTCCTTATTAATCACTGTAGTAATTACAAAATAATAAAAAAAATTTTAGCATGTTTAAAAGTGTAACAAAAATTTAAATAAAATTCAGTGTTATTAGGTAAACTAAAGATGTAAGTTAAATTACAATATTTTCTTTTATAACTATTAAAAAATCGCAAATAAATAAGAAGCTTATTTATAGTTATTAGAAAACATTATTACTATACTATATAAATTATTATTACTAGAAAACAGTTAATTAAGAAGATCTAAGAGTTGAAAATATAGGCTTTGAAGAGCTTTAAAATGTTGTGAAAAAAGTAAGTCCACGGGAAAGAAATCACTGCAGTTTGCTGCTATGCTACATCTGCGCTCTAGCTTATTTCTACCCCTCCTCAATGCATACGAGTCTCTCAATTCTACCCCATACATCTTGCTTTTGCTTTATGTCTCTCGAGGAGAGTCACCCCAAATAGAGCTCTCCATTATTACCCGTGTATTGTATTGCTTAACATTGACTCAATTGCTTTCGAATAACGGGCGACGCCTCGACCCCGCTATATATTGTCAAAAAGAGATGAAGAGGAAGACAGAGAACGAAAAAATGAGTGGCTCTTATAGATGCGTTTGCCTGTCTATACCTCGAGTATCAATCGAATTATTCGATTTACTGCTCTTTTCAAAACCCAAAGCGAAAAGCATTGACCTTGCATAACCTTTCTGTCGCTTTCTTTCTCTGCCTCTATATATGTATATATATATATATATATATATATATATATATATATATATCTTCTAGTACTTTACTTTCGTGTCACTTTGTGTATGTCAGACTTTGCAGCTCTCTTTCGATATATATTTGCCCTTTCTTCTATTCTTTTGGCGTCAAATCAGTCACGGAGAATAGATTGTCATAAGCTTCGTTATTTTATATGCTTTATTCTTCGAAAAATCTACCAATATTGACTGCTTACTAAATGCTCACAAAATATTTAATATAATCTGATATTATTTGGTAATTTCACTATACTTTTATTTATCAAATGATTCACATTATTTCAAAAAGGTTCAAAACAATATAAATCTATTTTGAAATATTATCACTTCTTAACTAATCAAGTTTCAGTGGACATCACAAATTTCATTGAAATTGATATTTCTACAATGATATCAATACATGTATATGTTTGTTTGAAAGTAAAGCCACATTGTAACATAACAAGATAGTTGACTCTCTCATGCGTTTGTATTCAAAAGGATGTTCATTCCAATCGATTTGATCATAAAGCTCGAACGCTCGCCACAGTGGTCCATAGAAATGCACAAGCCGAGAGAGTTAGGGGGGAGAAATAGGAAGAGAGAGAAAGAGAGAGAGAGAGAACGAATGATGGAGAAGGATGAGAGGAATGAGAAAGAAGGGATGTACGGGCCAAAACGGGTTTTATAGCGGTCCAGTAACAAACTCCCGGTCCCGGTCGAACGTTCGGTCCGGACAATCACAACTTGACAGGAAGGTTTAACGAGCCCTATGCTAGCACCCCCATCTACTTCGGATGGTCATTTAATTATTCGAGATATCTAACTAACATATACTATATTCCTCCTTTCCCTCTCCATTCTTGCCCCTTTCTCTCAATTTCTACATATGAAACAGTTGTTGATCCCCTTCTCTTTAACTATCTATAACCTGACTTCAACATATACAAAACATTTTTTTATCTTCTATTCCTTTTTCAACTTCGCTTTTCCGTTCCTCTCCCCCTCTCTCTTTCACCCTCTCTCCCTGAAAATATCTATTTATTTATTTATCTATCTATTTATCTATTTAATTATTTGTTTATTTAGCTACCTCTGATACATTTAATATACATTTAATAAAATAAAAATTAAGTTTCCATTTATCAATGCTACTCGCTATTTATTTTACAATTTTTTCTGAATGTTTTGACATCTTTTTTTCTTACGCTTTTTTTCTTAATTTAGACAAATTACTTATATTATTCTATATTATATTATAAAAAATAATTTTTTTTTTTATACAAATTTCCTTTGTACATTTTAAGTTTACATATTAATACATACAGTCACGGAATCTATTTTACCGTATTAAATTTATGTTTTGATATCTAGTAATATAAATATATAGAATTGCGAGAAAGCTTGGTGGTCTATACACAAATGTGAACCTTTGTCGCATTATACGAAAAGGTATGGGATATCAAATTTGCAGTTATGATGTAGCATAGGCAAGTTATTTCATTCTGTATTGTTTTTCCTCTAGAGAATTCAATTTCACTTATAAATGTCAAGAACGCACAATGGAGCTTGTCAACACAAATGTTTTTTATATTGATTATTATTTAAATTTTGATTTTAATAGTATAAATACAGTTATACTATTTTATACAGTTATAATATTAAATAACTTTATAATTTTACTACGTTCATTTTTGCAGATGATAATCGAGACTTAGGCAATCACTCTGAAGATGATCTCAAGAGACAAAGAAACAATTACAACGGTGATCAGCTTTACTCTAATGTAGGTGTACATTTTACGTACTTAAATTTTCATAAGAACATAATTGGAAATGTACCTTTGTATATAATTAAATTTATATTTATTTAATAATTTAATAATGCAATTTATTATTAATTTGTATGTACTAAACTTTCAAACTTAAATAAATTCAAATTGAAAGACTCATAAGAAAATCAAAAAATTTAAATTAATATAGAATCTGATTTGAGCAATTAGCCAATCGTTTGATTTGATATACGCGCAATTTTTAGAAAGATACAGATTTGTTTACTTTTCTAAACGTTCGCCTCTTGCTCTCATTTTACAGCTGTGGTCGAGTAAATGGAGCATCAAGGACGAGCACAAACTCTTGAATGAGCTAAGCGGTGGAGTTGGCGGTGGCGGTGCGGGAGGTGGTGGTGGAGGCGGCAATGGTACAGGCAGCAGTTCGAGTAATGGTGGCAATGCAGCAAACTATTACGAACATGGTGGATTCCCTGCCAATAGTATTGCAACTTCAGCCGACCTCTATGACTCCCTAGGAACCATCAGTACTATGACGCAGGCACAGACATCACACCTGTACACACCCCCCATAGGTGGCAGCATAGGTTTGTGTATATTTTTCATTACATTGTTATTGCTTTGTCATATTTACTTTTTTTAGTTTAATACTCTTTATATAATTATCATTATAATTTATAATATTAGTAAATATTGTACTCTTACCCTTACATCATTCTTATATTTCTTGTATATATATACACAATCAAAACTCACTATTGACATTAAATCATCACATGGTATTTATAAATTCGATTTTTTACCTAATAGATAAAAGACGTAAAAATGTTAAAGTTTAAAGTTTATAAATTTAATGCACTTACGTATCTTGAATTTCTAAATTTCTATTTCATTGTTATGATTTCTTATTATTATTACCAACAGCTTATTACATTCTGCTTTGCATTACTATAATGAATAAAGCACGGCTTCAATAATATACGAGTAAAGAAAAATGTAGTGAAAAAAAGAGGTGGCGGTGGCTTCTTGGTGATTGATAATTTATACATTTTATTTATTTCTATAAATTGTTCTAACTATATTAATACAATATAAAAAATGTATATGAATTTAAAAGATTTTAACAATATTTCTATTTGATTTTTTACTGTCTTTTCTTTTGTTTTCTCTATTCTAATTTTAATTATATCACTTCCAGTATTTTGTTATTAATTTTTTTTTTTATTTAATTTAACATTAGATTATTTATCTTTATACTATGCAGTTTTTTATTAAACTTCTAAAAATAATGAATAAAAGATTGTAGGATATTGAAAAAACTATTTGAATGATAAAAATAAGACCAGTAAAAGGCTTAAAATTTTTTATAAAAAGTAACTTAAGAACATTGAAAAATATATTAACAAGAAAAAGTGAACAGAATGAGAAATAAATAATAGAATTTATATCAATGTTTGTTTATTTTAAATGAAATTAATTTTAACTTAATATAATAAACATTACTTTTTACTTATTTTATTTTCTTAAAACAAGGTGTATATTTATATTAATTTATATTATTAGGTTTACATAATTTAATTTTTAAAATGATGAAATTATACAAATGTATAAATTATTAATAATAAAATAAATAAATATTTTAATTATAATATTATATGCTTAAGTTTTTAATTAATAATTTAATTTACACACTAATAAACCTTATAAAGGATAAATGAATACTTCCAATTTTATAAAATATTTTTACTTCAGATTATTTATCAAATTTTTCCTACTCTATAAAACAAATATTTAAATATTTGTATTTTTAATTAAACGTTTTTATATAAAATTATTTTCAAAATATTACGGTAATATTTTTATAATTAACATCTAATACAAATTATAATAATATTTAATAATAATTAAAAAATTAACTAAAAAATCTGGGGATGCTTATGTAATGACAGGTGGTAATTTAACGCCGCTTGCCCCACTGACGATGCAAGAACTAAAATTGAGCCAAACATTGGATGGGGCTAATATATCTCCTTACCACACCACTGGTGAGTTCGCCACCTCTTTTTCTTATGAATGCTTAACAATGTGTGTTTTGAGTGGTAAATTTATGCTAATCTATGTAAATCTTTATGTTAATGTACCCTTATTTCATTATACATTTATTTTTATGTTCTTACTGAATTCTAATGCCTATCTCTTTATACAATATTTCAAAATAATATTTAAATATTTTCTGACTAATATTATTAAAGTTGTGTGCAAGATATAATTATTGAATTAATATTACATTATATAATAATTTATGACAAAATATTTTACAGAAATAGAATACTATATTATATTATATTATGATTACAGAGTTAGATTAATAAAATAATTCAATCCTAAAATAATCCTTATATAAAACTAGATATATAATTATATATACATTTATACTTAATTTTTCACAAGTCTAGATTATAAAATGAATAAAAGTGAAAAAATACTTTTAACATCATGTTTGGAACTCCTACAAAATAGATTAATTTGATCATAGCAAAAATGTTATTCTGTAATTCAAGTTTAGTTAAGCTTAGCTTTAATATACTATGAAATTACTTCTAAACTTGCGTTGAAAAAATGACGATAGTCTAAAAGTACGTTAACTAAAAGAAAATAATAATAATTTGAATGAACTGAAATTTAAATAAAATAAAAAAACAATGTATCAACTGAATTATTATTAGAATTATTGATTCTATCGCAGTACTCCTGATAACCTTTTTATTAATATCTTTTAAAAATTGATTTTATAATTCTTTATGAAATACACAAATTTATTTAAGCACTGAAATAATATATAAATAATAATGATAATAAAGCACAATGAATCAATTTTTAAAAATAAAGTAATAAAAGAATTCTACAGTAGATGCTTTTTATTAATTATATATGTATATATAAAGAAAATATGTCGTATACATCAATCCAAACTTAAAAGGTGTAAATGAATCCATCCAATAAAATTCGATAAAATTTTCAATTGTTATATAAAATAGATGTTTAGAGATATTAATAGATAGACATGTAAACATTCTATTTCATATTCATTGAAATATAAAAAAAAATTAAATTAAAAATTTTTTTTTAATTATACTAGCTTATGAAATAAGTGGTTAATTAATATTATAATTACTGATTAGAAACTTTAATAATTCAAACTAACAATTATTTTATATGATTTAAGTTTAATTTATATAATTAATGCTTAGAGTGAAATTCTATTTGTATTTCAAGTAGAAGTATTGAAAGTACAAAATATCAAAGACAAAATGATTTTATTAAAAATTTATTACCTATTTTTCCTTTGTAAGTACATTTGGATTAATTATTTACAGAAAATATTCAAGAAATAATATTATTCATGGTCTAGTACTACTATTTGCTCAAGATATTTATAAAAAGATCTGTCAGAATAAGATATATCTAAAAACATTTTAAATTTTACCCAATCCCTTCCCGAAGCTTTATAGTTAATTCGCTGAATGTTTAGCATTAGCTGGCTTGACTAGAATGTTGTGTTGTGTTATGTGCATGGCCGATCGTGTAGGAGAGAGCGGCAATGTGGCGGTATCGTACGTGGGTGTGGGAGCCGGTGGGGGCGAGCAGAGTCCGCCGATGGCAATGCAGAACGAGGCGAGCGCCGCCCCCGCGGCTCCCCAGACACCACAAGGTGGGGATCCCGGTCTCACAGTTCTGCAGCCACCCGTCTCCCAGCCTCAGGTAGCCTCTGCGATTCCGCCCTACTCCACAATGCTACCTAGTTTTGGGCACTATACTACTGGTAAGTACGCAACTGAACTATATTTTTAACTTAAACAAAATTATTAAATTATTACTCCATTTCTGCCAAATCCCTTTTGCGACATTTTTTAAAGACATCAAACTAATTGAAGCTTGAACATATTTTTACTTATTTTTTTTTACTCAAAAATAAAATTGAAATGGTAAGTAACATATTTACAAAATCGATTGCTCCAAATAATTAAGTATAAACATTATTGCAAATACTTAACTATAAATTCCTGATTTCAGGTGGTGGTGATTATGCATACAGCGCAGCGTACTCGCAATACTCTAGTGCACCTTATGGCGGTTATAGCTACGGCACAGCGACAGGCGGGTTGCTCAGTAAGTAAACAGTGAGTATGAGTACTGAACAGATTAGGGTCAACGCAGCATGATGCACAGTTAATATTTTTAATTTCAGGTAGATCTGATGCGAGTAAGCTAGTTTTAATAAAATGAATATAAAAATACAATTCCTTACAAAATTTTTCTTCTAATTTTCCATTAAAAATATATTTATTAATCTTAACATGAAAACAACAAAATATTTTTAACGTTAATTTATAATACTTAATATTTATCATCCGTTTTATTTACTTAATACCTATTTTATTTAAGAAAAATATGTGCCGCTCTTGTATGTAAGTTTTAATCTTTTAATTTTGTTTCCAAAACTTAAACAAAAATATTTATTTTTCAAATGGTAATGTAATGATTATAATATTTATATTATTACATTAAACACAATATTAATAATATTAATATTGTCCTTATAAATGTAAAATTGATGTATCTTAAAAAAGGCATGTAATCTATTTCTGAAATTTAAGAATAATCCAATATTTAATTCAATTATGAATTATGCGTGGGTATAAAATTAAAATACTTTTTTTAATTTGGAGAGATGTTAATAAATTAATTAAAACTATAACGATGTGCGTGCTTTTGTAAGAATTTGAATTCAAACACAAAGTAATATCATTAAAAATGTTAAACAATTGATCTAAAAATAATAATGTATAATATAAATAAATTAATTAATTTTAATATTAATAAAAAATAACTATTGTTCAATGACTTTAAAGTATTAAATAAAAATTGTATATAAATAAAAAATTATGAAATTAAAATATATAGTACGATCATGATTTGAGTATATTTAATTGAACGCAAATTTTTGAAAAAAAATGACAAAAATTAGTACAGTATAAATAGCAATGGTAAAAATAGTTCTGTAGGTGCGCACATTAAAAAAAATTAATTGAACCAGTATAGGATTCCTATTAAAAGTATAGCAATAGGAAAAAACATTAATTTTCTCATTTCATGTTTCTATAGATTCGACATACTACTACTGCAACGGGGACACGCTGGCGTCTTCCCAACACAGCGGTGGTAATGGATTGCAACAGTATCACCAACACCACCAACATCAACAACATCACCAGCATCAACTCCCACAGTAGCAGCAACAACAACAACAACAACAACAACAACAAAACTCGAACATCGATAGTACGGCAGACGTGGCGTCACGCTCGCCATTAGCAGCGACCAGGGCAAGTAGCGGAGCGAGTGCTGCCTCACCAACAGGCAGCGCTTGCACCAAACCCGATCACTCGCAGACTTCAACCGACATGTATCTTGCTTAATTATTTGGCCTGGACATTGATGAACCGAATAATTAAGTTGCGAGTTATACCGTCCGTTTCCAATTACACGAAATGCCACATTCTGTGAATATTTAAAAAAAAAACAGGTGATAGTGGCATCGAAAAGCATGAAGAATGAAGAATAACTGAAACATAGGTCGAGTTCACTGGAATATAATGTACTGATCTCTAGACTCGCACAGTTGCTACCGCGTATCACATTGCTATCACGATTGATACGCATAACGAGCCGACCGCGCTCCTCTCGCCAAGTGCACAAGTCTTACCTTAGATAGTTTAATTTATCAGCATGAATTAGCACGATTTTTGTTTTTTTTCACTAAGAAGACTTTTCCGGCTCTCAAGGAAATGACTGATTTATTTTTATAGATTATTAAATAAATTCACGCTCCATATTTGCAGTTTCTTTTGGTAGGGAGCAACTTTCAGAACAAAAAAGCTACAATAATTTGCCACAAAGTTGCCATATTATTGTAATTTTTCATAAAACATTTCATCAATTATGCCAGTATATATACTGAAAAACAAATAAAGCATCTACTTGAGAGCAGGAAATGGTATTCTAAAAGCACACGTATCTTTATACAAATACGTTTATGCATAACTATAATAGAAAAGTAAAGCAATTAAGTGAGAATGTGGGAGAACTGAAGTCTGTCAAAGCAGCAGCAGTATGACATGATTACACATGTATATATACTTCTTAAAATAATATATATGTATAATTAATATGATTGATAAAAAGTCCAGCGTTGCTTCCGGATTCAATCCTGTGTGTGTCTCAAGATTCTTAGGATTATATAAAAAAAACGATAATATTGCGATTATTCAATATCTGAGACTGAAAACATATAAAGAATCCGTGAAATGATTGCACATGCAAGTATAACTGTTAAGGATATCGCATATATATTTTTTGTAGAAAAACCAAAGACCACATTACGCGAGAAATAGAAATGAGAAAAAATTATATGTGTACACACACACACACACACATATATATATATATATATATATATATATATATATATGTATATATATATATATAACCAGATAGATAGAAATTAGATTTCATCAATTTACTCAGAAAAAATTGAACATAAAATGGAGCATTTTTACACTACTATGTGTCAAAGTAAAGAATTTCATTATTTGTAAATAATTTATTATTAAGTAATAGAATCAATGCGATAGAAATGAAAATATGCTGATAACAGAAAAAGAGAATGTCATAATCAAGGGACAACCGAAACATAAATTTATAGAGTCCTTTTTAAATTTCATTATACAGCACTGCTGGAGTAAATTCATATGAATGAAACTCTTAATTTTATGAGTCGGTAATTCAATATATCTCTTTGTCCGATAAAGCGATCAAGTTAAAGTAACTAAAAACGCTATAAAAGCCTAAACCTACATACCAATGAAATCCACTAACTTCCCCAAACAATGAAATTGTACATTTTAAAAATATTTTGTTCGTATACATTTCGCATAATAAGATACGAGACTTGCTCGGTCTTTGATATAGCGCTCAAAAATTCGAGTAAATTCGTTAATAATTAATTTATCACTCTCAAAAGATGTGTATCAAAAATTGTCTTCGTATTTTTCTTGATTACAAAGATCGTTTAACGTTACTCTTTCACAAGAAATAAATTCGAAGACATTGCTTAAATGAACTTAATTTAATTCTAAAAAATTATACTTTAGCAAGCTTTACCATAAATCATTATTTAACTGAATTATGGTAAAATTTGTACGATATTAAAAAATAAAGATCTGATATTAAATGGTGATAAGTAAATATGTTTTTTATTAATTTACCAAAAGATCCTATAATTTAATTGCTAAATTAAAATTCTAACACGTTTATAAATGTAAACGTAAGCATACGCGATATTTTTTTAAGAAACGTCAAAATTGTTTTATAAATAAAATACATATTATATTGTTCCATCAAATATTGTATCTGTGACTTTATAAACTTTAATTATTTAAAATAATATTTTATATTGTTACTTTATTTCTTATACGCAATCATTACACAAAGACGATTAGAATAATAATTATAATTATTATTATTATAGTTTATTATTAATTTTTCTATTATTAATTGTCATGAATACTATCATATTATTATTATTAACATTATTATTTAATGTCTTTAATATTTATTAATTATAACAGTAATGTATGTGTAATAAGTTTTGCCAAAGAACCTTTCTTAAGAGAGCTTATGAGCTCATTGCTTCTGATTAAGTTAATATATAAAAATTATATGCGATTTAAAATATTCAATTTTGGTGAAAATGAAACTAAGTTAAATATTTAACAGTAAAAATAGTCTTGCAGCATTTACAAAAATTTAAACAAATTTAGTTCGACGAGAAACGTACCTCACAAAAATTGAAAATTTGTTTAATTTCTTGTAAAAGGATTAACATTTTCATAATACATTTTTTTGTCTGTATGATATTCTTGTTCCGTGCGCCACTCTATCTGAGTCAGGCTGTTGATATTTGCAAACAAAATTCTGTAAATCCTTTTGAAATAAATATGAGATTTATAAGATTTGCTTTATTTTATTCAAAATTCCCTATATCTCCTATAATTGTAATAATAAATAAAACAATAAATAATTAAATATTCAAGATAAATAAAGGATATCCAAGTTCATAAACTTCATTGTTACCACTTTTCCTTTAATTCCTGAAGTCTATTTCATATATCATATTCTTATTTCCGGTGTACATATCCGGTATTTCTTATAGACTAACCTCTATATTAAAATATATATTATAAATTCATACAAAATAATGAAAAGTCTAAAATGATTATAGCTTTTTGATATTTATAAATTTTTAATTTTATAAATTGCTAATCGCTTGTAGTCATCGTAAAGCTGAAACTTAAATCATATATAAAAGAGTTCAAGGAGAAGACTCAATAAGAGAATATATATATATATATATACACACAAATATATGAAGTTTACAATAGCTTTAGATGAAAAAACTATTTTTTTCTGTAAAATTAATAACCTAAAAATAATTTAAAAAATAGTATAATAAACACTATTACAACAATTTATATTTTTACCGAAGAAATGTTTTAATATGAAAATAGAAAATCAATCATTTTTATAGGTTTTCTCTAAATGCAAAGTTTACACACGAATTTCTTTGTTGAAGCACACATTGGATTCACAATTTTTAAACTTGTTATGATAATAAGGTACAATATCTTACACACTCTTTAAATTGTCTTATCCCGGTATAATTAATTGTTGAATATAATTTTAACATAAATTTAAATAGAAATTTTAACATTATCTCGTACTTATATTTATATTTATGTAAATATGTGTACATATATTTTTGCATTTGAAATAATTATAAATCCACCAGATAAATTGTAGATTAAGCCATATATCAAGTATTATAATTTGTTTTATAAAACAAAATTCATATCTTTATTACAGAAGTTTAATCAGTGCGAAACTACATCAGCAATCAATCTATAAGATAGTTAATACAGTTCATGTCAACGGCAATCATAAGAAAAAATATATATCATATTATCATACATCATATTATATTATGTTTGTTCAGTAGTAAAAACAAATGAGCATGAATTTCGACATCACTATTGACTCCATTAGATTTATACTATTATTCAATTGCAATAAAAAATAAATATACTGTTTGGAGAAATGCATAATTGAATCAAAACAAAAATCAGAATCATTAAAAACAGTGTTTTTCTTAAAGAAATAAACTAATACTATATCTATTCTGTTTAATAAATATATATTTATTCTGCAAAGACACTTGAATATAAATAATTTTTCATTTGTTTACTTATTTTTCATCTTATATGTGCATGAAATTAGTATATATTTTAATAACCTTTTATAATTTTTGCTTGAAATTATTAGAAGAATTTTAACAACAAATAATGTTAGTTATATTTAATATATTACATGTTGTAAGATAAAAGGCAATAAATAATCCAAAATTATAAATAATATCAATCTCTATGTACATATATAAGTCCATGGATTTTATATGGTTTGATTTCTATAAAGAAGTTTTTACGTTTGAACGGAATGTATTATTTTATAATTTAAAAAGTTTCGCAATTATAAATATAGCAAATTTTTACATATTTAAAAAATTTATATTGTAATAATAAATTCTACGTTTTGCCAGGTTTTATTATAAATCTTTTAAAATTCGAATACACAGACTTCGAATGGAGACGAGAGACGAATTACAACTATTCATCATTAAAGTAATTTATAACAACTCATTATAATCTCATCAAAATTTTAATAAGTTACAATTGCCTAATATTGTTAATACATATGAAGATAAAATTATTTATGAATAATCACTTATATATATTTCAAAATAATGTACAATATTTTTATAAAAAAAAATAGGAAATATAAAATACGATTAAACTTTCAGATAAAATACTACTTCATATGTTTGCTTTGAAATACAACTTAATCTAATATTTTTATATAAATAAATGTTAATTATATTAATAAATTTTAATATACAGTTATGAATACTTCGCATACGCTTGGAGCAGACTTTTTAATTTTTTTGTAAATCATAAACAAATAACAAATACTATAATAAATTTTATGAATTTAATAATATAGCTATAACATATTTTAAATTATACCCTTAACTGATTAAAAATCATCAATAAAAATACTACAGATTATTCTGGTGGTATTAATGCGCCCTCTACAAAATACTTTAATACTATTGTGGCGCTACAGAAGTAATATGGCTAGTGAATATAATAGAGAACATCATTATCTTATGTGGATAATTTGTATGAATATTAACACTAAAGCTAATTAATACGAATTAAATAATAAAGCTTTAAAATCAATTTTATTTATTGCTATAAAAGAAATATTTATTATTTCACCATTTAATAAAATGTTTAAATGTAAATACCTATATAACAAAAAATACAATTTCGATGTAATGATCCTAATTAATTGTGCATAATATAATAACAAATAGAACACAAATAGAAGGTTTGATTTCATCAAATTTTTATTATTTTAAAATATTAACTCAATCAGAAAATATTGTTGTAAAATAAATTATCAAGAAAATTCATCAAAAAAATGAAATTCGCTAAAAATATTTAGTTAACTAATTTTAATGCTTCGCTAAATATTTAATTTACTGATCGTGAATATTTGCTACGATATATGGTACCCCACGAATGTACAACATTTATTACAATCTTTATTTATTTATATTTGTATCACTCTCTTAATTTTATAATGTATTTATATAACAAATAACGTTGAAGGAGCACAGAAATTTAATTGATTCAGAAAAATGTATTTTCATAGATTTGTTATAAAATCTAAAACGAATTTGTTACTTTAAAAATAAGATCATAATGTACGTATGTAAATTTTCTTAAATTATAATAAAGAAAAAATAAAGAAATTTCAAAAAGATTATTATGTAAATTGTATTATTAAAATATATTTATATGTAGGTATAGTATCCTATAAATAACATGTTCATTATGAGAAAATGCCCTACATTAATATATTACAATTCATAAAAACCTAATTATATAACAGAATATTATAATATTAAAATATGTGACATACAGTCAACTAAATGTACATTTTAACTTACATGTCTATTATTTGATATATGTTCATTTCATTTCTTGATTTTTCGATTATATTATTTATTGTATTATATTTATTATACGTTATACTGTACATTATATGTTTATAAACACACATATATATATATATATATATATATATATATATATATATATACAGAAACTAATAAATAATTTTATTCCAATAGATTTAAAACAAAATAAATTATTTTTCAAGTAACTGTAAAATTAATTTTTTTAAATATAATTGTTTATTTGCCAATTACTAAAAATAATATTAAAATAATTTTTTTATAACTGAAATTTTTGTATAATTTTTGTAAATTAGTCTGACAAATTCGTTCAAACATACCTCACACAAATCTAAATAAGAACCATTCTCTATGAAATTGAAGATTTCATTAAATAAAATGGATATAATATAAATTTATTAGAATCAATATTATTATTATAAATACAAAGAATCATCAAAACAGCCTAATAAGGGATGTAATTTTATAACTGATTATCATATAGAGTTTTTAAATAATAACTTTAAATTACTTAAACATAATATTTCAAAAAGAACAAAATTAAAGAAATTGTTTTATGTATTTTAGTATTTTTAATTGCTTCGTACAATTTTAATTTAATGTATTTGAATAAATATCGTTGATTATTATTATTAATTATTTTATTTAATGGAATTTTTAAGCAAAGGTTATAAGTATAAGACATAATTTTTTAAAATTAAGAATTTAATAAGATATGAAACAATATATCTATAAAATTAATAATCATTATATTATTATGTTATATTATATGATATCTACTATCATTTATTATCTGATATGTCATATAGAGATATAAAATTATAATATTTTCAATCATTTCACTTAGACCACATGATTAGAATAAATAAAAATATTATATTTTTATAATAGGACTTTTTATAATAACCATTTTTCTACTTATTTTATTTCAATCTAGTATTACACTTTCTTAGTCTTCACATTATTTGTATAAACATAACTTTCAGTACCACCACGACCAAATCCTGAAACATTAAAAATGAAAAATGTCTAATTAATTTAATTTAATATTTAATCATTACAGTGATATATTATAATTATTCTTAATGAAAATATTTTTAAAAATTTCATTTTATTCGAGGATTAATATCGAATTTAGGAAATAATATAAACAAATATCACAATAATTTGAAATAAAACCAAAAAGAGTGAAATTAGTCATAACATTTTGTGTTATAGATGAATTATATAAAAACAAAATATTCATTTTATTAAAAGTAAATTATTTTTTTATATTGTAATTAAATAAGAATTTTATATAAAAATTAGTAAACAATTCTATTGGTATCTTAGATTAAAGTTAAATTTATTAAATTAATAAAAATAATGATAGTAGATATAACAAACATAGAATCGTGTACGTTATTAAATTATAAAAACCATCATTTTGCAGATATTTACATATGTTTTTCAATATTATACACTTATATAATATTGAATTCATATATATGATATATTCTTAAAGATTGAAATTCATGTATATAACTACAATTAAATACTTTTAAATTATAAGAAAACATCTGAAGTTTTACATATTTAAAAAAATTATTATAGTTATTAAAGTATTAAGTATATTAAATAATATTTATACTATCTTATATGGTATAATGCAGTTATACAAGAAAGTCAAAAAGAAGATCATAGTTATAATTTATAAAGTATTGGTGTTATATATTAAACTCTTGTGTTTTTTCGAATATTAAATAGTAAAATATAATTTAACAATTGTCGTTTATTTATACTATTATAGTAATAAGAATAGGACTTTTGTTCTAATTCATTAGTTAAGAATTTATTATATAGCATATATTAACATAGTTGTCGAATAAACAATATTATACATAATAATAAAATAAACAATAAAGTTTACCTCCTGGTCCAAAAAGCGCTGCGTAACATGGCTTGTTACAATAAGGTTTCCCTTCATGCTCAGCGTGACTGCCAGGATTTAAAGTCTTGTTGCATTTTTCACATCTCAAGCAGCATCCATGCCAGTCTTTACCAATAGATGTTTTCCGTTCGGCTGAAAATAAATCAATATTAATATTATTAAATGTTAAAATTAATAAATTTATATTATATTTTATATTATGATAATTATGAATATTATATGGAAATTATTACTCATGTATGCTTTGATTACCATATATTATTCTTTATATCTTTTATAACATCAATTCGAAGTATATTTATTTTTGTTAACGATTTATCATATGTAGATAATATTTAAACATACTTATTTAAATATAATAATATATTTAAATATACTATACATCATTCACGAATTTTTTACTAAAATGGGAAACAATTATCAAATGAAAGGTTCAATGTTTTTCTTTCTTTTATTGCTATAATATGTATATTTTAATTTGTTTTTATTTAACTATATAAATTCAATATAAACAATTTTTTGTTTTTGAAAAATATATATATATATATATATATATATATATAATATTAATATAATTTGATTGATTCGAACTAAATTTAATAATATACATGAATGTAACTGTGAAGATTTCTTTTCAATAAGTTTACTCCAAAAACATTGCTTAATGTATTATATATATCCATATAAAATCTGTAAATCAATATGTGCATACATTTTAATTGACCTTACGAAAATTAGTATAATCAACGATATTTTGTTGTAAATAGTGGTAGATTCAATCAATCTATAGTGAATCAATTAAAGAAACAAGAATAATCATTTTTTAATGAAATGAACTGTATATTTTACAGGGATATATTTATTAATAAATTAGTCAATAATTGAAAAATGTTTTTTATATATTTTATATTCTTATTCATTTTATAATTTATTTAAATAGGGCTTGCATCTCTAGTTTGAATTATATTCTTCAATAATAGTAAATACGTCATAAGAGGTAATGATATGCACTGTTCGGTTAACTAACCTGATCAGCTTAAAAGTGCAAGAACTGCAAATAGATATATCAGAATTATTTTCTTTTTATGAGTAAATTTACTTGCGCAGATTTCATATCTATCATATTTCACCATTCTACTTTTTCATGTAATGATTTAACTAAATCTTTTCTTCTTTCACATTCTTAAGTTTTTCATTTGGATCACAAATTTGTATTAATTAAGTTTAAAATATTCATTTTACTCTATCCTCAAATTTTAACATATACATATTAAATAATCAAAATTAAAAAAACTTATATAAAAATAAAAAAATTATATTTTCATTAAAACCTCTTTATCTTTCTATTGATTTATGAATCTGGTTAGATATCTATATGCTAAACTAAAAAGCACTCTTATTAATATGTATGCAAGATTTTTCCTAAAAAGTATATCTGCTAAAATCTCAATAATTTTGATACTGGCAATTAAATAATTAAAATATATTAATTTAAATATATGGAAAGTCAATTATTCCAAAAAAATCAAGTATTTTTTAAAGCAATAATTATATTCATTACTTTAAATAAAATATATGAAGTTCAAAATTAAAAGTAGACATACATATTGAATCTTTTTTTCATAAATATATATGAAAAAATTTCTTAGTAAATCGTTTTTCCTCCTTGTGTAGAAAATACGTCTGTATTCGCATCCTATGCAGGAATACAATTTGCTCGTTACTAGACTTTATTCACAAAAACAACGTTCTTACTTTTATCTTTTAAACTTTGGTTTATTCAGTCGTAATTTTTATATCTTTTTAATTGTCTTTCAGCTTTCTTACACTAAGCCGTAAACCACAAATTCTATAGATGTTTTTATTGTTTGCACAATATTTCTATTCAAAATACAGTATTCATTCATTTATTTTTCATTTATTTTTGCTCTTGCTATTTACAACAAAATGATTTTCTGATATTACTGGAGATGTTAGATATTTTGCTCATAATTTCTATAGTTTTTCGTTTTTGTACGAGTAATGTTAAAAATTAATTTTAAAGTTAAAAAATCTCAAATATTCTTCATATACTAGTGTTAGATTGGCAGCTCGTTTACAAGTAACTCAGCATGGAATCGTCGCTCTTAAAACCTGTTTATCCGCATTTTTCTTCTTATTGGATGTACGCTTTTTATTGACATTCCCCATGACTCTTTTTAATTCCTCACAACTTCGCTTGATTTAATAGATTTCTTTTCTACTGTTTTTGCCTATTTATGTTTACTCCATTTTTTTTTAAGTTTTTTTCGAGGTCAGAATATATAACTTCAATTATATGAATATGTATTATTTGAAAATAACACATATGTATCATGATGTTAGTATTTTCTCACTTATATATTTTTAAAAAATCTTGTTAAACTTTAAAAAAACATTGTATCAATGTATTTACACCTGTTATAATTTTCTCACTGCCTCTTTCTCTCTTGCTTCTTTTTTATATTCTTTTTACTATTTTTTTTATAAAATTACACTAACTATACATTCATTTAAAAAATTACTAATATGACTATTTTAACACTAGATAAATTCGACAATTAAAGGGTCATGACTTACTTAAAATTATAAGACAAGAGAAATTTCCAGATTTAGATGAAGACATCAATAAAATATAGATGTAGTTTTTGATATATCTTTCTATTAATTATCTTAATATATATTTCAATTCAGTTTATTCGCTACATAATAAAATTCATAAAAATTATCTTTACTGTTTAATTTTTAGGGTTTTTCATAGTAATAAATAAATAAGTGCATCAACTTAGTGTATTATCTAGATTTCTAAAAATAATACGTTCTTTTACTTTTATTTATATTTTTTATTTTTCTTAATGTATCGTTCTCTTTATGTTTAAATTGATATTTTGACATTCTTTTAATAAATTTTTAAAATAAATTAAATTAAATATTATATGGAACCTAAATATTACAATTATTTTTAAACATTATCATATCAATATTTTTACAACTTATTTTATTGTCATAATTTTAACTTAAATGTATAAATAAACATGATATATATACATAAATAAATAGGAATATAAACCAGTCTGCAATATCTTATTAAGTGATGATTATTTGTACGCATAATTGTAGATTTTAGCTAATTTGAACGTACTTTAAAGATAAACTTTAAGGAATATTAAAGGTAATCAGATTACAATATCTATTTTTAAAATTTTTACATATTCATACATTAAATTAGAATGTCTATTCGATTGAAATAAAATTTGCGTTCATTATTACGCATAAATAAATGATACATAAATGATATGTATCATGTATATGACATAAATGATAATAAATTACGTATCAATTGTGGATTTAGGTAATTCCATTTATAGCTACCAATTTATAAATGTAAAAATTGATCTAAAATAGACTATAGAGAATGGAAATTGTTTTTAAAAATCAAAATATAAACTAGTTAATAATGCAGAGTTAATATTTAAGAAATAAATTGATTTTATTTTCATTAACGAACATACTGGATTGAGTGAGGTTGTGTACCAGTTAGTTTTCTTTGATTAGTGTAACAAATTTATGTTTTTATATTACCTATTTAAAAATAAATGTCAAAATGTAATTTTCATTATAATATATAAAAATATATAATAATGATTATTTTATTATTTTTGTTGTTGTCATTATAACTCTATTATTAGTAAACTTTAAAGTAGAATACATTAACAAACAAGTTACACGCGTATACATAGTAATTATACTTCTTAGACTACAATTAAATGAGACATTAATGGCGGTCGTGGAGAAGAAAACTTATATGTTTTTCTCATTACAATGAAATGTTCAAAAATCTATCATACATACATGCATACACACATGCGCGCGCGCACCTGCACTAAAAGCGTTTTATTTAAGCATTAAATTGCATATTTGAATCTTTGTAAATAAGGGAAAAACATGTTCAAAAATTGAACATAGAATATTTAAAAAAGTTTCACCCCGTCAAAACAAAAAAATAAGCTCTAGATAAATAAACTAAAAAAATATTTTTTTTATAAACATTGACATATAAATATAATTAAAAAAAAAATTGTTTATTTTTTCATAATTACTTTATATAACATATTTTTTCTCAAATTGTTTTAGATTAAAATTTCCTATAATATTAATTATTTTTCATGTATTTTCATGTAACTATTAATCTTCCGCAACAAATTTAAATTAATGTAAGATTCACTACAATTTTCTAATAAAAATTTAAATATCACTAATATAAATAATTATTTAAATAAATTTTAGGTTTTCTAGATAAACATGATAATATTTTATACAGAATCATACCAATGTAAGTGTGTTTGCAGGATATTAATACACTCATATATACTGTAATGTGTAATAATTATATTAATTAGAAAAGACAAGAAATGAAATAAATTGTATTTCATAAATGTTTGAGCTCATAAATAGTATGTCAAATATATTTGTCACTTTGTGCAATATATAAATATTTATATTAAATTCTTGTAAAACTATAGCTTATGTAATTGATTTCACAACGGATTAATTACTAAATAATAAATAAGGATAAAAACTATGAAAATAAAATTCTAAGCTATGCATGACTTTATCAGATATCAAAAATTGAATCACTGTTTCATACAATCATATAATGTATGCTTTTACAGATCATGTAATGCCATCATCAATTATTGTGAGATAAAATCTTGACTAAAAATATATATTTTTATTACTATTGAGTGCTACATAATGTTATAATGACATTTTAAACTATTTTTGTTTACATTTGATATATTTAAAAAAAATTTACTTAAAATGTATCTATTATATTTTTTAACTTTATATTCATTCATATTTTTAAAATTATATACATATACTTTAAAATAATAGATTTTTCACTTACACATTATTTATATTAAAGTTACACATTTGAAAACCACTAGTGTTTCCTATATTAATAACTATATATATATATATATATATAATAATAATATAAATAATGTAAATATTTCATATAAAAGTAGAGTGTTTGAAAAAAACTTATATATCAGTACAATAAGATACTATAAAAAATAGTCAATATTAATTTTTGAATTTAATACTATATTCAAAGAATTTGTTTAAATAAGTATTACATATATTACACTATTTTTTACAAAGATAATTTTTTATAAGACTAGATTAAATATTTATGAATAACTTCAAATTTATACGTGTCATTCGTTAATAGTAAACAGAACACACGTTAAGTATAATAATAATACATTACTATGCAGATGAGGAATACGTACTTATAAAATATTATAAATGTTTATTTCGTCAAACTAATGCTACTGATTAAATTTATTAAATCAATTTATTGATAAATATAGAATGAAAGGTATATTATCAAGATGTAAAACAGATTAATTAAAAGTATGAGTAATATCAATAATGAATATAAAAAAGATTTATAATTATATAATATATTGAAGAATATATTATAAATAAACTAGCGAATTATTCGAAAAATAGTGGTACCCGATCGCAATATATATAATTTTCGTATATAAATATTTTTTTAACTTTTTAACGTCCATTCTTAGATATTGTATAATGTATATGTAGTAATTTTTTTAATGCATAAAATAAAATAAAAAAGTAAAATATATACACTTTTTAAGTAGAATTCGTATTTAAAAAATCAAAACGGTAAATTCAAGTTTATAAATAAGATAGCACATAATTGAGAAAAAGAAAATATTTTTAAAACTATGCATTGATAGCAAATTAATTAATTTGCGACTCTACAAAGACCAAACTATAAGAATAAATATATAAGCAGTAGACCGCGAAGGGAAGCACTCTATATGAGAATTAAAAAAAAGAATGTAGTTTTTAGCATGATGGAATAACTAATAAATAGCTCGTGCATTTTGTTACGTAGAAGAATACAATATCACTGATTGCAGATGCAGAAAGTGTAACTAGCCAACTAAATCAAGACTCAGCAATGATTTTGCTCACCGAAATAAACAGGCTTGTCACACTTTGGACAATTAGACATGTTAAAAACTGTAATAGTTGGAAATCAATGACGATAACAGCAGCAACAATCTTACCGAATCCTCACAGCGATGTGGTTGAATGCGTACTACTGGACCTCTACCTTCTTCGGTCTCTGGTGTCGACTCCCGCCACCATTCGGGCATTTAAGGTAACCCACTTCATTGATGTGAACGCGTACGGAGCTACATAAAATTAAAAAATTCGTTATATCTAGGTTATATAGAATACTTCTTATTTTATATTAATTATTTATCTTTTATTTCATAATAAATATTGATTTATAGATTTTGTAAACTAGTTAAGATTAACACACGTTACTTTACTCATGGGTAATAACGACTACCAATGTATATTGACTATAACTTCATAGAATTGCAAATTTTCAAAAAATTTTTGTTCCTTTATATTACCTTCTTTAACATAAAAAATTTTTTAGATGTTTAATGTATATAAGAATTCACAATATACTTTAAATATAATCATGTTCAACTTAAGTAACTGTTTATTCACGCAATTTAAAAGATAGTGAAATTTAGATGTATAATTATGAAAATCATATAATAATTATAAAAAAGATTTTAGTGAGAGATTTAATTTTAATTATGATATTGATGTAAATTTGTAGATGAGTAAAGATTGTATTATTATATGGACCTCGGTCGTTCGTTTTTTTATTTGCCGATACTAATTCAAACAAAATATATTGTAAAAGATTCGATAATTCTAGTTAAAAAAGTAGTTAAAATAGTACTTAAAAAATTCATTTTGTCGTACTGTAAATTATTCAATATTCATATTAACTTCATTTAAATTTGACAATCATTGTAAAATACTTTTTTTAAGTTGCATCTTATAATAATATTTTGAACATCTATTTATCTATTTTTTGTACTGAGTGAAAATGTATTCTTTACAACTAAATTATATTTTTATATAAATATGTCAATTACCAAATAATATTAAATAACATTCAAATTCAAGCTAGTGTTTGAGTATAGTTATATTAAAAAATAAATTAAATAATAAGTATCTAGATAATAGCTATTATAATAACAAAAAAAAATTTTAATTTAAATTAATTTTTAAATTTCGGAAAATGTACTTCGTTTACAGTGAATTGATTTTATATCCTAAAGTAATATATTAATTATATGTTTGAGAAATGAATTTTATAATCATAGAAATATTAACATTAGATTTTATAAAACTTTTCAGAGTATTTCATAATTCATTACTAATCTAAATAAGATAACTTTAAAAGCTTAAATTTCAATGCATTAAATAAAAGGACTTAATGTGCAATAAATGTATATTTGTTCTATCATATGTTGTTAATATTTAAGTTTTTGAAAAAATATTTGAAGATATGCACATAAAAAAATTAATTATTTTCAATTTTGCAGATTAAAAAAATGTATACAATATCCGGTCACTATTGAAGTATACCTTTATAATTTTTTATTACAATGAAATAAATAGTAATTTTATACATATAATGCAATATATCAGTAATGTTTTTGAAATACATTAATAAATTCACAATATTTTAAATAAATAAAAACAATTCTCATGTACTGGTTTATTTTAAAATATTAAATTCATTATTTATTTTTTACAATAATTATTATGTGTACTCTATCTTCTCATGCTCTTCACGTTACAATTCAATCATATGTTGCATGTATTATGCGAAGTAATGTATTATTTTAGATATTATATCAATATATTATTTTAAAGAAAATATTAAATATTTTATTATACTTCTCTATAAAATTATTATGAATCTGCATGAAAAAATAAAAAGTATATAAAATATTAAAATACTGAATATGAAATTAATACCAAATATTATTATATATAGTATACCATTGTTTCATGCATGATACTATAATCAATACTATTTAGAATTTATTAATATTATAAATATGCAATATTTTGGTTTTATATATATATTGTTATGATACATATAGCTATAATAAAACTAATATGTACAAATGTGTATAGATTTAAATCGAAACATTTATTAAATATTTATAAATTTTCAATTTATGATAAATAAACAAATTATAAAGAATATTTATAGCAAAATTATTAATCTTTGAATAAGTTTTTATAATGTTGTCATTAACAGTTACATTAATCAAAACTTTTACTGTTAAAAATTTAATTTAAAGATACATTTTTTAATAGTTTTCTCCAAATAAGCACAAGCTAGTTCAAGTTTCACAAAGTATAAATAAAAATGTTAGTTAATTGAAATATTTTTTACAGGCCAATAAATTAAGGAGGCAGAACCCAAATGCTCAATTATCACGCTCTGAAATCAATGTATCTGCTTATAATTGACAAAAACAGATAATCTAAAATAATAGACAGAGCTATTAATAAATCATCCTAAAAGTACATATTAAATAATGTTATATATGTATAAATATATATAAAATATAATAATAAAATTCTTCAAAATTCATAGTATAAGCTAATATTGATGTTTGAAATGTACCAATGTTCACTTGTGATATTTTTCTTAAGCTGTGATATTTTGATTATCAGAATAATATTTAATCAATAGTTTAAGCAATTACATATTATGTAAATTCGTATTTATTAAGTAAATAAAAATATAAATATTCATTAATATTTTCATTAAATAAAGGGAAAAGGAGAAAGTGAAAAAGAAAGTACAAAATTGAAATTATTGCTATAAATTATTATTAGCTCCCAAATTTATATTTTACACAAAAAAAATTTTTTAAATATTTAAAAAAAATTAATTGTAATATTAATCAACGAAAATTTGTTTTATGCTCTCGCATAAATGTTTTTTTAATACATATACTTCTTAGTAAGTCAGATTTATTTATTTAGTATAATGTTAATCAAAATTACCAAAGTGAAAGACCGTAATTTTTAATTATTCATTATTACAGATAAAATATAAAATTTTAATAATGAATTCTTACAAGTATTGAGTGATATTGCTTGCATAACCTTTGATAAACCTTATTAATAAGTTTGTTTTATCATAGTTTTAATAATTGAACTTCCATTTTGATTTCTACTAACTGACGTCATCAACTTGAAATTAGTCTTTCGTTCTTTGTTATTAATAAATCCTTGTTAAAAAAAAGAAAGACATGCCAAAAATACACGATTTCTGAATATTATTTTTTATAAATGGTTATATTAAAATAGGTTGTATAAATATGTAATTCTTGGAAAGTAATAATATTAAATTGAAAATCAGTCGTCTACATGGAATGTTTTCTTAAAAAAAAGATAGATATTATATTATTATAAATATAGATTTAATTATATGTAGATTTTGGTATAAAGTATTATAAATATATTATTATATATTTTGATTATTCCATATATGTATACTACAGTATGATGTATCCCTTAATTAATTATATATATATAATTGATAAGGTAAGTATAATGTTGAAATACATTATTCAATTTATGTTATAAAAAATAAAATATAAGTCATAATCAAGTACTAAATATTATATTTATGTTCTATAATCAATAATCATAAAATATATTTACACGCTTTTAGATAAGAGGTTATGCACATACTTGTTATGCAATTATATTAAGATAATTATATAGTAATTATGCTATAATATTTTTATTAAATATATTGTTTGAGGATGTTGAAATACTTTATAAGAACTAAAAAATCTTACTTAAAATTTTTAGTTTATTCCAAATAATATTTTTTAGTTATTAAATATTTGATATTATTATTATATTTACTCTAATATTTATAGTAACACTTCAAGATAAAATATTATAATTTTAAAACTTATTAATTATGACATGTATATATAAAATTTATATTTACATTTAGATTTATATAAAAGATTAAATTTTTTAAAGGAAATAAAGTACTCAGTACCTTTTAAGAAAAAACTGCATTCAAATTTTTAACACATTTCATACCAAATATTAAATATTAAGTTTATTTAAATAAAAATGGTTTATTAATTTTCATAATTAGTATATTAAATTGATCAACAATACAGTAAATAACTAAAAATTAGGTATTTTTTCATAGATTAAATAAATTTGTTAAACTTTTTTTTATAACTATAATTTTCATTAACTATTTATAATATTTCATAGTATAATATTGTACGATTATATTTCCAATACAATTTTAAATCAATGCATTACAATTTATTCAAAGGATATTGTTTTTGCACTCACTTTTGTGAATAGTTTGGCGAAATATTTAATAAAAAGTAAAAATAAGAAATTATTTAATAATTATTATTTAATTTCCGAAATAAGAAAAGTTTCTGTAAAAAAAAACATAGAAAGAATATAGATGAAACTAAGCCTGATACAAATATATAATATAAGTCTAAGCTGATAAACGGATTAATCAAAGCAAAATTAAGAAACGCGGACTTCGTGAAACTCATCTAAGAAATAGGTCATCATGATCACTCCATTTTCTAACTCAGCGATAATAAAAAAAGATTCAATATAATTTTACGCGATTAGTGATTAAATAAATTTCAGAAGAAATAAAAAGAATATTAATAAATGAAAAGGGAGATGATAAATCACATAGTAATTAAACATCACATTTAAAATGTTAAACGGGGTGTTGTAGTCGTCAAAATACTCTTTAAAAAGATATTAATAAATAATATAACTTTTCAAAGTTAAATAAACTAGTATTCTGTGTACTGATCGTGCTAACTTTCAATCAAATTATCAAACAAAATATCGAATCCTGTCATCTATAATACAAGAAAAAAAGATTGAAATTTAGTATAAATAATAGGGACAACAGAATTTAAATACCGATTATACGAATAAAATTGTTTTTAACATGCGATCAAATTTAAGTGTAGTAGTGAAATAGTAACATAATAAAAATAAAAGCATAAATAAACTATAGAATATAATTGATAAGAATGTTGCCATTAAGGAGTAAAAGTAAACAAAAACGAATGAAAATACTTTTAAATTAAAGAGATAACAATGCATCCCTAAATATTTTAATAAAAATTTAAATGATTAAATATTCGTTTAAAAGTAATTCTTTAAATTAGATACATATGTAATGGTTTAAAATTTTCTATTGTAGACATTTACAATAAATAAATGAACAGGAAATCAAATATACAGAATAAATAATAAAAAAAACATTTTAATAATAGAA